CCCCCCTTCCTCCCTCCCTCTCTCCCTCTCTCTCTTCCTTCCTCCATCCCACCTCTCTCCCTCCCTTTCTTCTTTTCTCCCTTCCTCCTTCCCATATTAATTTCCTAGGGCTGCTGAAACAAAGTACCAACAACTAGGTGGTTTCAAACAACTGGCCCTGCACAGTTCTGGGGGCCAGAAATCTAAACCACGAGTAAGGAGTGTTAGTCCCTCCAGAGCCATCCCTGGCTTCTTTCCCACCTCCCGGTGGTTGCCTGTGGTCCTTGATATGGACATGTCATCCGTGTGACCCTCTTTCCTGTGTATTTTTGTGTGGATTTCTCATAGGGACATGAGCCACTGGATTAAGGCCCCTGATCCAGTGTGACCTCATCTCACCTTAACTGTATCTGCAGAGACCCTATTGTCAAACACGGCCACATTCTGAGGTTCTGGATGAACATGAGTTCTGGTGGGGGACACTCATCATCCCAGCACACTCTCCTTTTTTTGGTGTTTCTTTTCACTAGCACTGAGCACACAGTCCTGCGGGTGGGAAGAGCAGGTGGCCTCCACAGTCTCAGGCCCCCTGCTGTATGAGAAGCAGGGGATGTCCCCCCAGGGTCCCTGATGAGGCTGCTCTCCCACTCTGTCTGCTCCTCACGGGCAGTGCTGACCTGGGCCACTGTGAGAGTGTGAGGTGGCGTCTAGAGATTGTCACAGGCAGATGCTGGTTGGCATCTGTGCCTGGCACCTGACCCCCTGGGATGGAGCTATTGGAAATACTGGGTGAGGCCTGGTCATTTGCTTGGGCATCTAAGCTCATTCCTATGCAACCCACAAAAACCTGGCAGCAGGGGCTGCGGCTTGGGCTGGTTCTCTCAGAGCCTCCGGCCTCAGCGAATTGACCTGATAGCCTCAGGAGGAGCACAGGTTAGAGTCATTCACAGGCACATGATGCCCAGCCCAGCAGCCCCCTGAGAACACCCTGCGGCTGCCAGTCAGTGCTGAGCCTGCAGGGACAAGCGGCTTCTCCAGAGCACTGCAGAGATGGGTCATGAGGGACTGAGTCCATTTCCCTTCCCTTGGAAGTTTAGAAAACTGTCTGATTAAAGGGACAGGGCCAGCTTTGACCCCGTGCACCTGAGGCTGAAGAGCAGAGGCCTTTCCTTTTTTTCCAGGTGGCAGTTTGACTGACATCTGGGTCTCTCCTTGTGTCCATAGTTGGGTCTGGATGCAGAAGGCCTTCCAAGGATCTGCATCTGGGAGGGGCCTAAAGTCTCTGGGAGGGGAAGGCACTGGGGCTCAGGAAGCTGCATATGTGACCAGAGTCCTCTCCAGCAAGGGGTGGTTCCTGCCAAATCTGGGCCACCTGCCGCCATCAGGCCCTTCTGGACTGGCTTAGAGTCTCCGAGCCAAGCAGGCCTGACAGATGATGGGTGATAGAGCTAGGAGGAATGTAGGATCCCACCTTCCAATCAGACTTGCACTAACTCCTGGTCGCCCAACACCTGCACATCTGGAGAGAAGAAGACAGGCTGTGTGTGAGTCTGGAGTAGGGACAAGCAGTGAGAGGCTCATTTACTCCCAGCTCCTAGGACTTGAGCTCCTAGAATAGCAACAGTGCCTGGGTGCTCCCTCCCTGTGGCCTTTGAGGAACAATGCAGGCGCTGGCAGACAGGGCTCATGTGACCCCCCAACAATCACAGCTGGGCCTTCCCCATGACACCCCCTTCCCCTTCCCAAAGAAGCTTACAGAGAGATTCCTTGAGCAAGCTGGGTTGGGAACTGGGGAGTGTCAGGGGTCCCTACAAACCTCGTTCCCACCCTGTCCAGCCTGTTCTGGGAGGACTTGCAGAGATCCTTTTCCCCTCCCACAGCTGACACCAGGGTGGGTTATCACAGAGCAGGTGGCCTCAAGTTTGTGTGCAGGAATCTGACTTCTGGCTGGGGGCTGGAGACCCAGGTTCTGGGCTCTGCTCTGCTCCTGGCTGTGGCCCCAGCTCAGGGCCCAGCAGCCACCTGGCCTTGCTGCCTCCCAGACTCTTGTTTAACACACCTGCCAAAGAGATTTCCTGTTTTATTTTCTTAAGGATCATTTTAAAAAATACTTTGGAAATAGGATTTGATGTTAAATAT